GCCACGCCGGGCCGGCCGCTGGAATCTGTAGTCACATAGTGAAGCTCCTGAGAGGAGCCGTGAAGGACGTCACCTTTCACCAGCAGCGGCTGCCCATTGATGAGGGGCACAGCTGTCACCACCTCTCCCCCGTGGAGGGCCTGCTGGGGCTGGACACTGGAGGGGAGAGGAGGGGGTGGGAGAGGGTCGTCGCTGTCCAAATCCACATCTGGGGGGAGCGGGTAGCCCCGGCAAAGGACCATGTCGGCATACTGGTTGACGGGTATGGACTGGAACATCTGCACCACCTCTGGGTGAGTCTTTCCCAAAACACACATCCCATTAATCTCAACAATCACATCACCTACAGGAGAGGGGGAGAAGAAGAAGAAGAAGAAGAAGAAGAAGAAGAAGAAGAAGAAGAAGAAGAAGAAGAAGAAGAAGAAGAAGAAGATGAAGAAGGACTTTTACTGCTGCAATAATGACATCACTCCTCTACATTTCTAAAAAGGTCCATTCTTGTCAGAGGAATTCTCAATTCTCATCTCAAAAAATTTCCCTTTTCCTCTTCACTGCTCATTCCATTTACTCGCGTCTACAATTCACCCTTTTTATTCCTGTCCTCCCTTCACACTGCTTTATTGTTAAACGATTTGAACGGCGCTCTCCATCACACGGTGGGTCAGTAACTGTGGTAATTCTGGCACACACACACACACACACACTGAGCTTACAGCTGTTGGTTTATGTAGACAGCCACGAGGCAATTTAAAGATCAGAAAGTGAACTATCTGCCATAAAACTACAGCTCTTGAAAGAAGAAGGTGGTGTGTTTCTGGCCTTGTTGAACTACAAGGATAGTATTGAGTTAATTAATCAGCACAGAGGTAGAATGAATGCCCCCAGGTACTCTGGATGCGGCAGAAGTTGGCTATAAAAGAATTTTCTGTACGAACGCAGGATTCAGCAGTTATAAACTCATAGATCTTCCTGCCAGCTTAATGGGATTGTAATGTTTATTTGAACAGGGAAGCACTTTATGTGTTGCTCGTTTCTTTCCTCGGGGACTCTTGAAATGATAAAAGTACATCTGCAGAACTTTTGCTCACCGGATGCCATCTTGTTGTCCAGGGCAGCGGGGCCATCGCTGAGCACATTTTTCACCTGCAGGAACTCGTCTGTGCGGTCGCCTCCGATGATGGTGAAGCCAAATCCCTGAGTGCTCTTCTTCAGCGCCGTGTGGTACAGCTCCCCCTTCAGTTGGCTGGGGTCGGCGGTAAAACCAAAGGTCCCTCCTTTACCTGTGCACAAAGGTGTACAACTGTATCTGTGAGCATGGCTGTGGCAGTTGCTGATTTGTGAAACAGGGGGCGCTCATTTCTTTTCTATTCTGCTTTTGTACTCCTATAGAATATCACAGTATTCACAGCCCACAGTCTGGACACTGTGAGACCCCAGGCCCAAATACTGATACTCCCTCAGCTGTATGTCTATTAGATTTACTCGCTTACATTTTCAGTTAAAAAAATAAATGTCCTTTTACTAACTTATTAAACTGGATTAGTATAATTTAAAATTAAACTTAATAATTATCCTAATGTTCCCCTAGAGGAGCAGCATTCAAAACAAGAAAAGAAATGGCCACCGTCACAAAATCCACACACCAACGTTTGTCTCTCAGACAGTTTGTCTTTATAGGAACTTAAATTACCACCTCAACTTCCAGCAATGTATTTGAGCTGCTTTGACTCATAAAAGTAAAGCTGAAGACTAACAGTGACAAATGGTCTGCATTTGCATGGTGATTAGCATTATAACAACCATAATCCAAACCCTGAATGTGACAAGTATACATGGATTTGAATATATATATATATATAAATCCATTAAAAAAATACAAAATGTATATATTTTTTAAAAACACTTTTTTTTGCCTCTATTACACTTTGATGGTAGTGTTGACGTGACCTACATTTAAGAAGACTAAGCCAACACTGGCTTGACCTGAAAACCACTGCTGTACTGATGTACATTTGAATCATCATACACAAGGCAACTGAACAGTGACGGCCAATCACAACAAGACAATTTCCGTCGCTGGTTTTCTAGACAGGAAAACTACACTGTACTACCTCCCTCTTAATTCCTGTAATAGTTTTAGTTAACTTGTGGTTTCATAGTGTAGTGGTTACCACACCTGCCTTACACCCAGAAGGTCTTGGGTTTGAACCCCAGAGAAACCATATACTTAACGGTGCCTCCCCTGTCAAAATCGGTTTTAGTAGTTTAGTAGTTAGTAGCTAGTTACAGACAACCAGACGACCAGTCCCTCAAAGACGCCATGGCGGCTCTCTAATGTAAATGTGTGTGGACACAATGAGTGAGACGTTTCAGCCCACAGATACAGTGTATCCAGTGTGGACCAGACCAGACTCATCTCAGCAGGTGTGGGGTCCTTGTGCACACAGCTGCACTGATCCAGCGGATCTCATTTACATAACCACATTTACACAGCTTATTACAGTCAACACATTTCAGGTCCCCTCTTGTGAAAGTTGGAAATAGCCCTTTCACTGCACATTCTGTGAGTGTGCACAAAATAAAAGAGGGAGGAGGAAGTGAGTGCGACCTGTGCGAGTCTGTACATGTGTGGGAGAGAAACTCAGGAAGGTCCACAGGATGTGCCAACGTCTGTGGGCAGACTTTTAAATCCAGAGGCAGACGAACCCTGTGATCCGCTGAATCAAAGAGCCACGGGTTTCCTCGTGTCTCATGTGTGACTCAGTTGGGCTGTAAATCTCCCGTGACATTATTCAGCATAATTGGAAAGAAATGCTCAGTGCTCCACCAAAAGATGCAACAGGCGAGCAGCGTTGTCAAAGAAATGCACTTTAGTGAGCAAAGGTTGGCTCAGTGTTATATAACAAGGGGAAAGCACTGGATGAATGAGACGAGACAAAGAGGAACAAAGAAGGTCTTGATGTGTGTGAAGGTACAGTAAACACAGTAAGGTAATACTGTATAAACTAGACTGGAATATACACACAGTCACATAAATACCACTACACAAAGGTTTGGAGTATACATTCACATCACATTCTGTTACTTTACATCCTCCATGACAATAAACTGCAGAAGGCACAGACAATTGATTTTTAAGAAAACATCTGGGTCGGGGACCACAGGGTGTGCCGTGCAGCTACTAAGGACTGTTCACCCAGGGCATGGGGTATGTTTCCGGGCAGCGACCCATGTTGAATTTTTACTCAACAACTAGTAAGTTTTTTGTTGTTAATAGACAAATATATCTTTTGAAGAAAAGCAAACAGCCGCCTAAAACTATATGTTTGTAGATTTAGATAGATAGATGGATGGATGGATGGATGGATGGATGGATGGATGGATGGATAGATGGATAGATGGATAGATAGATAGATAGAATAGATTGGACAGAATGGAAGTCTGTGAACCTTCTGCCAGAAGCAACAGTACGCGCCTCTGATCCACTGTGTGACCTCAGACAGCATTTGTTTTGCAAATACACAGTTCATCTTTTGGCGAGGCTGATTTGTTTGGCTGCAGTCAAACAATTATCTCTCTTTATTCTGCAGGGGCGCAGCTGAATGAATGAACCACAGTCACCGTCGGACGACCAAGCTGTGGTTACCACTAATTAAAGGACCGGCTGAAAAACTCCGTAGGCTAGGACATCACATGATGGAAATGTTTTAACCCAAATAATTAAGAGGTATCTGTGGATTAATCACGACTAATCATGACCAATTGTGATTAATCAATGGTTACAGCTAACAGCAGTTGGTTGTATGTGTTTTATTCATCTTTTACTCCAAAGTTTGGTTCATAGAGTTGGTCGATTATCGTCAGATACCTTGCGAGACAAAACTATCACGATATAGCGATAATGGATATATTAAAATAAATTTCATCCATAATATATCAATATATCCGCGTCACTGAAGACGTTCAGAATTTATTGATAGCACTGAATCCATCCATCCATCCATCCATCCATTTTCATCCGCTTATCCGTTACCAGGTCGCGGGGGCAGCAGTCTCCATGACCGCCACCCAAATCACACTGCACCGTACCAACCCCTCGTGAACCTTCCTGTGGGTGGTGAGTCCACTGGAAGGTACCAACCGCCCTAAACGGGAATTGATTCCACACCAAGTGCCTCTGGGCCAACGCACCACACACTGAATCTATTTCTTATGAATGACCAAATATTGTCAATGAATTTCATTAGTAAAACAGTACAATTCCTTAAAGGAGAATTTTGGTGTAAATGTAAAAAGTCCTCTAAAGTTTTCTACATGTTCTATATGTTTGATGAGCCAAAAAAGTCTAGTTAAAAATATTTAGACCGTGTTTTTTTCTCAGGGTTTGGCAGCAGTGATGTTTCATGTCGTGGCCTTGGTATCTACATTTTCCCTCCATAACACAGTGGTGTCCTATTTCCATAAACAAATAACACTTTTTTTCTTGAAGAAGCAGAAAGTTTTGCCCAAGCAGCAGAGGCGGGAATAATTCACAGACACAAACAGAGAGCAGACATGCAGGGACACGTACAGCAGGCAGCAGGCATTTATCAGACTGTGATAAGAGAAGAGGTGTGAACACAAGCATGAAATCAACAGTTGATGCACAGGTGTTCCAGACAGCGGACGGGGTTCTGTGACTGAGTCCACACCAGCGCTGCCAGAACTTAAAGAGAAACAATCAATAAGCTCTGTCGACAGAAACACAACCCCTACAGAGGATGTTTCCCAGAGCCAGTGTTGTTTCCCAGAGCCAGTGTTTTCCCTTTAACGCTGACAAATGGAACAAAGAGGAAGTTGTACAGCAGTGTGGCGCTGCTGTTACCTTGGGAAGGAGCTGCCACGACTTGTTGGTTTGCAGCAGTTTCTTGGCTCAACTTCTTCTTTGCCTCCAGGACCGGGTTCTCAAACTGGGTTTTCTGGTTGATGTGGCTGAAGAGAAAACCAACAGTCGGAGGTTAAAGGCTCCTCACGAATATTAGGAAGCAAGTTTCCACTTCACTTATAGAAACAGTATTATTTCTCCTACGCCTAGTGGCCCCGACACCCTGTCACGTTTCACTCACTGTCCGTTGCTGGGTTATTTTACCCATTTTTATAACAATAATATAAAATGTTTTCTTAATTATTATTATTTCATATTATCTATATATTTGTTTACATCTATGTTTTTGGTGTTCTGATGGGGGGATTTTAATTTAATTCATTTTTTAATTCATAGTATATGTCTGGGAGCTGGAATGAATTCATTGGTTTTTAGTTGTTTTTAGTGGCGAAAATGCAATCGAGATATGAGCAGATAGGAGCGGACGAGACTCGTATCTTGAAGCCCCACTGAACATCCAATATATGATAGGATATGTTATAATAATTTAACATTATATTATGTCCTCCAGACAGGAAAAAGACTTACTTGTTAAAAATATCTCTAACATTTTGGTTCCTAATAAATTGGACATAATGATGTGTTCGACTCAACTCAGATGTTTGCACGGTGTTCGACAAAAAACAATGTTTGGTCGACTTTTCTGAAATTAAAAAAACTACACTAGTACAAACTACAATAGTATTTAAACATTTAATTAGTGTAGAAAAATAATTTTCTAGTCGTCGTCAACTTTCAACATTCTGCATCATAACAACATGGTCAGCCTGCGTCCGTGGCAGAGCCGCCGTAGCCATCGTTTTATAGTGAATTGGTTTCAGGTTTTCCCACCGATCGCACTTGTACATCGGAGGAATCCTCCTGACGTGGGAGCCATAAAACAATGGGTTTGTCCCATTTTCTTTTCATCTGCGCAGATTGCTACCTCTCCAGTCCCCCCCCCCACTCCCTCTACTCTTACATTGTAGCTGAAACTCTTCTATAATTGCTGTTATAATGGCTGTTCTTCTCTGATCTGCTGCAGAGTCCGTGTGCACACACTAAAAAAATATATTTGTGCACAAATGACAGCCTGAGATGCATTCATGACACATGCACACATGCTTACTGACACAAACATTGGCAAAACACAGCTAGAGTCCAATCAGCCCTCGGCTTCTGTACAGGTCACTGGTAGGTTTCCCTGCAGAGACTCATTTTACCTCCCACTGATAAACAACAAGGAAATCCTGATCACAGCATCACTCTCTTTTCCAGGTTAATGCATCCTCTCTGCGTGTTATATAACTCTGAACATCCTCACGCAGGATGAACAGAATCAGCCTTACATTACGTCCATTTGTTTATTTATAGGCAGCGCTGATTTATGGCGGCGCACTGTTAATATCCAGAGAGCAGTGTAATATGCATTCATGCCTGGGTCCCTCAGGCAAAGAGTTTGCCAGCGTGCAAACGTGTGGAACAGGGCTACTAGAAACAATTTACGGTGTTCATGGCGAAGGCATCTGGAAGTTCTTGGGAATTACACACATCAATAAATCAATAAAACTTACTCCACATAGTATGTGCCGTACTGCGGGTCGTCAATTTCCTCCCAGCCGTAAGGCAACTCTGCAAAGAGGAGAACAATTTTTACACGGTGCTGTGGGGACGATGCAAATAAGGGACGCAGATAAAGACAACAGATGGGTGAAATAGAGGAGGAGGAGGAGCACGGTATTTAACAATTACGATTATATTTTTTCCCACTTTCCTGATATAAAACGGAAAGGAGAGATGAACTGGAAATGGGCTACGACACTTGAATGAATATTTCCATGATTCTGACAGGGAGACTGATGTACTGTGTGTCACGCCTCGATGGACAAATCATGGGGTGGCAGGAGAGAGGAGAGGGAGCAGGAGGGTTAGCAAGAGAGAGAGAGAGAGAGAAGAAATAAAGGGTGTTCCATGCAAGAGAGGGCAATGAGTTATTTTTCAGGGACAACAAAGCAACTGGCTCTCTGTCCGCCTGTAAAAATCCATTACAGTCAGGGCTGGAAGGGTCCTACTCTTTCAGCCGTGGCCACTCATGTTCACTGCCTGCACTTAAGCCTACATTAGCATCCAGAGTACACAAAGCCACGTCTGGACTTCCCTTCAGCAGACGCATGTGGAAGATTAAAACATATACATGTATAACAGTAAGCTGTTTAACCATGACATTTAGGAGACACAAGTTAAACGGTCATGTTCGCCCCCTGCTGGGTTTTCAAGTCATGACTATGTATGAAATGATGGATCGTGTAACATTTAGCATACACACTGGAGTTTCGCTCCGGTGTACCTACAGCACATGTGGAGCGGTTAATGGAATGACTGCACATTTGGATCAGACCCACATACCTCCGTCTTCACACTTCTCAGGGGGCTTTGCCTTCTTGGCCAAACGAGGATCCAACCACGTGGTGGTCTTGGTGTTGTGACTGTGAAGCACAGAGAGCAGCCATGAAAGGATCACCATTAAAGACGAGTGCCAGCAGAGAAACAGCTGCCGGGCCTCCAGCAGCCAACCACAGAACGGGCCGTAACAACGGAAAAACAAACAAACAAACAAACAGCAGTCGTATTCTCCTGTTTAACGTGCTCTCGAGCACAAGGATTAAAGGATTCATTAAGAAACATCCGATCCATTCGTTTATGTTCAGCTGTCACATTCATATGTTCATGGCCAGGAAAGAGGAAGAGGGGGAAAAACTGCGATTGTTAAAGATGACAAACTTGTTTAGTCTCAAATGTGTTCAACCACTGGGCTGTGTAATCAGGAGACCATCACAAAGGGTTTCTGATATTTGCAGAGACAAGTGTCTCACAGTGTGATAGTGTTTTAAACACACACAGGAAGGAGTGCGCACGTGTACGCGCACACACACGTGCACGCATGCATGTGTGCACACAAACAGTGAGGTTCTAATGGGTCGTAGTCTGACAGACTTGGAGAGGTTTGTTTACAAGGCCGGTAAAACAAGTATTGATCACGCTGGAGCTGAATAAAAATGGTATTTTTCAGTTAAAAAAAGGCTTAAAGAAGGTAAAAGAATATTTATGTTTCTGAAATGATCCTGGCCATCGTAACTTTTTCTCATAAAAGCTTTGGAGAGATTTCCTCTCCTCTGATTTTTTTACAGTACGGTACAGTATGGTACGGCATTGTAAGGTATGGGACGTATGATGCGATGTGATAGGGTGCAATAAAATAATACTCGTTGTCAGAATGTTCCAATGTGCCCTGTATCAGAACTTCATTTCCAAACATGCAGGATAGAAAACAACTACATATGTTACACATACATTCATGAAACAACAACACATTTATGTAATATTATCACTGACCCCCAAACCATTAACTTACAGAAAACGAATCCCTACTACAGAATTGTTAAATCTATCCATCTTTCCTTTAACAACACTAAAATAAATATTTTTAAACCTAGTTGCACCCGGTTGCTGACATCACTGTATGGAGGTTTATTGGGAAGTACAGTATCAATAGTTTCACACACACAGTACTGACTGTGGCTGTTTGCCTTTTCTTTTTCCTTTGAAAGTGGAAGGAACTTGGTTAAAGCTGCCGTTTTTTCCGGCCCAAACCTGTCATTACCCAGGCAACATGGAACCTCACCCCATCACTAGTCTGAATAGAAGCTGATTTAACACCAAGCAAAAACATTCATCTGTTTCCATTATGCATGGAGATGATTGCTGTAAACACAAAGATGTTTGACATCGCAGCCACAATTATCATTATTTTGAACATGACAATAGCTGCACAGCCAGACTGCCGTTGTTTGATGACACAGTTAACGAAGCCAACACTCAACCATGTCATTGGTGCTTCTACAGTTTATGAAAAAAATGTACTGGAAATGATCTGTTCAAGACTAAAATGATCGAATTATATGAATTTAGTGGGAAAAATCTTATAGAAAATTCAATCAATCCTGATTCATTGTAATTTTTCCACATCTGTGCTGAATGAATCAGAAAATACGGAAAATACCTCAACTTTTAATATTAAAGAGTCAAATATTCACATATTGATCTTAAAGCAGATTCAGGGAAAAAACATTTAAATTCAATTATTTTGATATATGGAGCTAGTTGGTCATGTCACACATGCATGTAACATTTCTGTGCATTTATTTAAATTGGTAAAATGTGATCATAACCTGTTCAACAGCTTTAACTGACAGGCTTCAAATGAAGTCTAAGTCTAAGTCGAGGTATAGAGATGCTTTGTGTGAAACTTTTAAGATAATAACTTATTTTATAACATCAGCTGACTCGTGCCAGAGACGCTTGAGTTCTGACTTACTCTATGAAGTAGACCATGCCAGTCTCGGTGTAGGCCATCTCCCAGTTGTAGGGCAGAGGCTCCAGGCTGTCATCGCGAGGAAGAGAGCTCCACGTACGGAAGTCCACGGAGCTGCTGGACTGGTTGTAGCTGGGCACGGCTTTCCTCCACTCCGCCCTCTCTTTGTGCTCTGGAGGCAAGGGGGGAAGCGTGGATTAGAGGTGAGAACAGAGTGAAAAAAGTTAGCCTGCAGAAACACCACCGCTGAGGTAGGGCTGATGCCGCTCCTCACATTTACATGTCAGCGATGGAGCGCGTGTCTCTGCCGAAGGGCTGTTTTGCATTTGTACGTACAGGCTGTGGAACGGCTCAGTTCTACCTACACTCAAGTCAGCGTCGCCTGTGGACCTGAGCAACGATGAAGGCAGGGATTCATGTTAGAAAAAGGGGCGATTGGAACCCTGAGGCGGCTCCAGTGTGATTATACAGAACCGGTGCTCTCCATATACACTGCACCACATCCTGCTGCATGCGTTGTAGGGAGCGTCTGTGTCACAGCCGACATGAAACACACAACAAAGCCTCCCCTAATGTACTTAACTCTTCCCTCAGAAGGTGTTTAAAATGGGATGAAACAAGAGCGCTTATTATGATTCTCTTTTCATCTGATGCTCACCTTCCAAACAACAGAAGATATGCCAGCAGTTGTCATGCACAACAGACTAGAAATGCTCAAAAGATTTGCTTCCATTTTTAAAACAATAAAGCCACACACACACACACACACACACACAAACAAACACACAGACAGGATAAAGCCTGCAGTATCTTTGAAGACAATGTGCTCTAGCTGCAAAGACAGGCTTCCCTGGGGCACAGTGTGGGCCAGAGCAGGTCTCACTATGGTTCACAGCACGGTGAGGGACCACTGCACGTTAGACACTGATGGACTGGAGAAGGTCACACTCTGGGGAGACGCTGCAGTCAAGAGTTGAGAGACATTTTTCCATTAACCTCTTTTTTCGTTCAACCATAACTCTGTCCATCTACGGCTGCTCTCCCACTCAGCCGGGGGCCACCGCGTGTGCCGAGTTCCACTCCATTAAAAGAGCAGTGTGTCTGTGTATCATTTGTGTGTGTGTGTGTGTGTGTTTGATTTTAATATGAACCAACAGTTGGACAAACAGACTTTGGATTTCTGTTTACTCTTTTCACAGCTGAGCAAGCAGCGTCTGAGCTGTGACTGTCGAAAACATGTTGGGATATAAGCCAGAGATTCTCCTCCGACAGAAATCAACTGTGTCGGTGTGTATGTGAGAGAGAGAGAGAGAGAGAGAGAGCGGGAGAGGGGGAGAGAGAGAGAGATCTATATCTGTTGGCAAGGTCAACTAACAAACACAATTTATTTTGACACCAATATGTTCCTGTTTGGACACAATAGATGGTGAATGTCATTCCCTTTGTTTTCCGTTTGGTCAGGGAGCGTGGTTAAGAATTTGTTTCAGAAAAATACAATCTGAGCAGACGGGTTTGAGGAATAAAAAAAAATGACTGAATTAAATTGGAATAATCAAATTCAGGAACTGAAACTGATAAACAATATTAATGAAGACACACTCATGGAATTCAATTTTTTTTAATTAAAGATGTAATTAATTTTAAATGTGAATTTAAAAAAAATGCAGGGAATATTTGATGCAAACTGATAACGTTCCTTGATGACTAAATTAAATGAGAGTTAGTTAGTAAGGTAGAGTAATGAAAAAAATCACATGTTTAACTCTGTCCTGAGTGGCTGCTCTCTGTGCCTTTACCTTTAAATGGTAACGAGTCACAGTGTGGGGGGGCAAACGGGTATGCTGTCCCAGACCCAGAGTAGAGTGGGGGGGCAGAACTGGTGTTGTTACAGTTGACAGCAAACTTCTAGTGCCTCTAGTGTTTACATCATGTACAGCGGCTGCTGCAGATCTTACTGGTTTGTTTTCAGACACATTTCCTACATTTTGGCAGATTATAAAACACATAGTTAGTTGTCGAAACTGGCAGTCGACAGAGACGCCGATATTTGAACACACAGAGACTGAAGTCAGTTTTACATTGGATTTAAGGCTCAGGATTCTTCCTCGTTATTAAACAGCCTCACGATGCAACGCAGTTATTAAAAATAAATGTCAGGTGAAAAAAAAACTTATTATAACTAAAAAAATTATATAAATACAACTAAACTGGATTTTATATAACATTTTGTTCATTGTGAAGTAGACTTGTTGAGTACTGCATCATTTTGGAATACTGCGTATGAATACTGCAATTAATTAGGCAGCAGTAATATTGTAATTTACTGCACACTATTATTGTACATTCTGTGGCAAGGACTAAGTATTAGTGAGAGTTATTTCGAGTCATGGCTGCCCATGGGAATAAATTAATTCTGAGTCTTTTTTTCAGGTTCTTTTAAATGAGCAAAAACATGAACATTAGACAAAACCTAAAAAAATCTAAAATCAACAGCGTCCACCAGACTGAAAAATAAATGATGAATCCACCAGACAAGAGCTCAGGAAAGAGGATTAGTTTCAACACAAGGTCATCACATCAAACTCTTTTAGGGTTGTTGTTTGGTAAGAAGTCAGATTTACTGAGTGTGTGTTTGTGTGTGTTGTCCTGAAATACACACAGGTCCCATTAATCTGTCCACAATTCTCTGTCAAGTTTCCACGCTTCAGAGGTGACGCTACAGCAGAACGAAGGAACACATCCGACACACACATCAACTTCTAAACTTTGACCTTTGACCCACCTGGTAATCCATTCACCAGCGCCGGTCGCTCGTCGTCGTCTTCCTCTTCAGGGACAGCGCTGTCCTTCCGGTCCATCTTACTGACAGAGGTGGTGCGCTTCCTGGGAATCTCTCCACCGTAGTCTTCATCAAACAGGACCTGATCCACTAGGTCAGGCTGCACCAGGTTGGGCTCTGCTGGAGGCTTTGGAGTCCCGTAGAAGTTTCCTTCAAGAGGAAAAAAAAAATAACACCGTGAAGGATTAACTTAGAGGAAAAAGAATGATGGAATCAAATTCAATTAAATGGACAAGGTCAAGAAAAATGACACAAGGGAAATGCTAGCTTTAGCAGTTTAGCAGCCTAGCTTTGTTGTGGCAAGGAAACAGATAAGTTGTTGATCCTTCAATATAAAAATTAAACTATAAATACCTTTTTATTTATATATTATTTTTCAAACCAGATCAATTTTCTAGCTGAATGCCAAAGCAGTTTTTTTTTATTTGATTTATTTGAAAGGTACTGCATAATATATATATATATATATAATATATTATATATATATATATATAAAGATATTTTAGTGCAGATATTTGGCCTTATTTTATTTTTGTTTTTGTATCATATTCACTACTCTGATAATTAACAAAGTCTGAGTCAAGGTTAGGCTAATATTAGGATGCATTAAAATTCTAAAAATAATGCACACAGCCTTTTAGTCAAATGAATAGTGTACAAATGTATTAAACTAAAATCTCATTCAGGTTTTTTGGACTAAAACCAAACTCTATCTAAAAAACTCTCTGTTAAAGCTTACGCTGACTTTCAATCATTGTACAATATTAATTTTAAAAAAATCGTTCTTTTAGAAGAGGGTGTGATCTCCATTAGTGTATTGTTTTCTGCAACGACCCTCATTACAGATACGCAGAATTTCCCAGTCGTCAGTCAGAACTGAAGAAGCCTCTTGGATGAGAGGTGAGACGTCTTTAAGAAAACCTACTCCGTCCAGTTGCCCTGGATGTAACTATTTTTGGATCAGATGACCTGGATGACTGAGAACCACACTGACATCGTTCTGTGGACTCATCCATCCCAGCATCCGTCCAGGACATTTTCGTTTCCTGAAGATAAAATCTCGTGCTTCCTACTAACCTTCTGCCCTCTGCAGCCTGTCATGAATCATGTAACATTAAAATCACTTCACGTCCAATATGCCAGCAACTAATTACGCTGATCATTGAATACAGCAATTATCGCTCGCTCCGCTTGTTTTTTTCCCTAAAGAAGAAGAATTTTGTGCCAGGAATTATAATTATTCTGTTAGATAACAGTAAAGACAGAGTGGGAAGTAGTTGGTGCGGCGACAAAACTCTTGAGTGATTCAGCTCACGGGGTAATTCATCTGAGTATGGCTGCTGAGCAGTATGTGAAAATCAATTTAGACATAGAAACTGTAATTATTCAACCTCTATTAGAGATTATAAATAATGTGTGTATTAATTTGCTTCTCCACTGTTTCTTAGGGTTATTTGTTTGCTAAATTACTCCCTGTCTCCTGTGATTGTGCATCGATATTAAAGCTGATATAGTGGCTATCAATTCAAACGCTCTGATATTTTCAACAGGCAGTCACTGCGTCATGTCCCCATTTATAATACGATTATTAATTAGAAACAATAAAGAGGAGCCACTGGGAGAATGGGGACTTGAAGCCATTTGATTATCACCAGCCGACTTCATCATCGTTTCACTGGGGTCCAGCTGTGTTTGAGCCACCTTCCTGTACTTATGCACAAACATGCATACATCACAAATGATGTGCATGGGGGCAACGTTTAATAGCTCAGATCTTTTTATAGCCTGGTACGAGGAGGAAAAAGCTGAGAGCAGCAGCCGTCCTGCCAGGAGGAACAGAGGGAAGTGAAGAAACATCACACTTTAGTCCAGCTGCTTTACAGCACACGCTGCAGCGACGCCACGGCAGCTTCTGTGGAAATGAGCCTAAGTCTAAGTCTGCCTTCTCTTTAGGCTTTTGCCAGCTACAAAACACAGAAAACTGGGTTAATGCAGCTCGGCTCATCTCCCTCAAAGCCTTGACGAGGCCGAGGAGGAGAAACAGGCTGCTTCAAGTCTGCCCCTCCTCCATTGTCACTCCACTTCACTATTCCTGAGCAGCCCCGGATCTGCGTTTGTCAGAAATGTCTTCATTAACAGGGTTGACTTACGGTGGAGGAGAAGGACGGGTGCGCTGCAGCACCTCCACCTCTCTGCTGCCCCCCGTTGACATTCATCAGCCTGAGTGATCAGATACTCACAAACAAATTGTCTTTGGCCTCTCCCAGATACAGAGGTGTGTGAAGGCACTTCATTCAGGGAGATCTGTGGCAACATCTCACCTTATAAACGGAGGGACGCCTCGTGAGCTGATGAGCAGCAGAACCTCATGATCCTCATGTCACAGGCGTGATGAGCCAGGACGACCGAAGCCACTCTTTCAGGATGTGTGTGTGTGTGTGTGCGCGCGCGTGTGTTTCCCTAGCAATTCCAAAGCTGTAAAATCAGGTCCCATTAATGAAAAGACCCGTGTTGTCAAGGACACGGTGGTTATACCTTACAAGGTCATTAGCTCCTTTTCAACTCAGCAAGAACGGAAACAAAAGGACGACTGCATCTCATCTATATTCATACACATATATTCCCACATACATTCATTGTGTTACACTGTAGTTATTGGACTGTAAACACTGACACGTGTGAACATCAGCCTTGAATGACAGGCATCCAACACCTTGGATAGATATAGTGTATGTGTATATATATATACTTAAAAATAACATTCACTCACAACACTGTTTATATTTTATCAAGCCCCTGCATCCAGGACCCACCAAAACAGTTTTCCTTACAGTCACGTGTCGTGTGTCTGATCTGCACTGACGTGGGAAAATAAAGGATAAACCAGGGTCACGACCGTCTTTGCAACTCATTCCAGCGTCAAAGGGAGTGTGTTTAAATTGCAATTGTGTAAAATGCATTTCATTGCTCCCATTAAATCATTTCTTAGAGGAAAAAACTGTTATTCATGAACCATTAACATAATGAGCGTTCAGGCAAGTCATTTGGGACTATTAGTGAGACCATTATAGTTAACTAAGGATCCCATTAGCTTAGCACCATGAGCGCAGCTCACTTGCGCTAATAAATTTGAGGTGATTCTTAGGCTCTTTAGCGTTGGAGGAGGAACGTAACCAACGTGACCTCTATCCAATGATTTCAGATAAAATAAAGGTCTCGTGTAAAACATGACAAATTTGGGTTGATTGTTGGTCCGTAAACTAGTTAGCTCATGATTTTTTTTATATCTTCACTGGAAAAAATATCAGTCAGTCTCCTGCAACTGCTAATGAACACATGCACATCTGCATGTTGCTACGGTGACTAGACTGCTTCTACTAGGGAGATGAAAATCTTGAAATATCTCTGTATCAAAGCTTTTCTTCAGCGGAAGGATTTAAATCCTGGAATAGTTTCAGATTAAACACCCCAGCAGCAGGACAGACATGGTGTGTTCAGAGTGTGTGAGGGTCTGAGGTCATGGCATCTGTGGTCAACATATGCACTCTTCCACCAGTAACTGTACACACTCCCAACACCACCAAACCCACTTGTGTGCAAATCCACAGGAAGCCGCTCGGAGACTTAAGGCCTTTCCCCTGTGAATGAGGATTTGACTTTATCTTTACATTTTCAATCATTCAGGAAGCACAAGCTGCAGCTGAACGGAACAGTGCATCTGAGGTCAGAGTGTGTCCCTCAAACATTCGCAGAAATCCTCTCCAGCTTCACCTCAGTCCGGATTTATGAAGAGAGAGTGAGCACCCAGAAATAACAGTAAGTTTATAATGCTGTTGACCAAAACCTTGTTTTTAAATCCTGTCTTCAATCCATTCACTAAAAAAAAACAACACATACACTATGGAATGCAGCTCGAGAGCAAACACTACACTGCAGTTGGGAGAAGCCGAGAAGTTATAAATATTTAAGCATGCAGCTGTTTGTCAAACCTGAACATCCCTCAGTCTGTGAGCCACTTCCCCCTGAGGCAGACAGGAAGCAGAACAAGAGCAGGTGCTGAAACTGTGCTCCAGCCTGACCACACCTCGTCCATCTCCTCTCTGTGACCGCTCACACCCGCCACCATACGTTTTAGGACGGACTTTCGTGCAAAATAAACCACACGCCGAACTAAAGGGAGAACGACCAGAACAACCAACGCCTCCCAGTGAGTAGGTGTGACGCCGTGTGTGATCGATCGACAATCACGGCTAACAGAAGGAAGCAGGCCGAGCTTCCAGGCAACTGCACAGTCGTTTGTACAATTCATGTCTGTATTCATCACCGCTGACTGATGCATTTACTGCTGTCTGAGAACGCCAGGATTTAAAAGATCACCTTTTAAGGAAGAGTGTTGCAGCATGACAGCGGAGGAAAAATGAGTGACATCTAGTACTGATTCTAATTTGGTCATGCATATGAAATA